AATCATGGCTCCTGACGGCGAATCTCTGGCACTTTTCCCTCCCGTAGTGGAAAAGAATCTGTTTGGCGGAATTCCGTAGACAAGTTATGGTCCTTCCAGCCACTCGAGCGGATCAAGCCCTCGAAATGGTGTTCCATTCCTGGCGATTCTTCAATTAAAGCTGTGATTGACCTAGGTAATTGTTGGGAAACTTCCGAACTTGCTATACTATTTCCGCATTCTGTGTGAATGGCAATCCACTACGGAGCAGCGCGGGCCGTTCGTATTGGAAGTCACGTTGGCATTATTTTCCACCTCTAGCTTGCGGGTGCTATGTGCTCGACGGGTAGTCTGACCATTTTGGTACAGGTGCCCGTGTTGTAGCAGGCATGGTATTGGGTGTCATCCGATGCGGAGATTCTCGTGTCTGCCCAATGGAGTAGCAGTCCAGGATCAGTTTTTATATTTCTTCCTAGGACGACTCGTCGTCTTGGCACTCTTCAGTGCCCTCACTAAGGCTAAGGCATAACTTGATTTGTGTTGCACTGACAAGTCCGATCTGCCGAATGATTCTGTCAACACACGTGGACGACAAGTCCGTCGAAGTCGGCCCCGAGGCACATTCCACTACTAAGCTCCGGAGTACCTGCCCATGTTCAATTTCTCTTATATCACAAGGTTTCTACAAAGTTCTCACAGTCTTTCATCTCAAATTGATTCAACATCCTTCTAGACCGTACTAGTATGTTCTATGTCCACACATTAGAGGCACATGTCGAGTCAGGAGCAAGGCTATCGTAGAACCTCAAACTCGTGTGCATACACACACACGCGCCAAACTACACATCCAAGAGGAGATCCAGGAGCTTGGGGTAATCGGGTGAACTGCATTCAAATTTTGTCAGCACCCTATAATCAACAATCAAGGTTTTCGGGGTACTCACCCCAGTCCAGTGACAGGGTCCCAACCAGGGGCAGCCAAAAAGCCCGTGGACAAGCAGTTGGGGTTAGACCCATTGGTGACATCCGTAAACACTTCGGGATGGGCGTACTGCAAGATGTCAGTCAACTATATACCAACTGTTGACTTGCGGCATGCCAGTGCGTCATATGGAAACTCACCAAGGTTGGATTCACGAAACCGAGCGTGCCTTTACCAGCCGCGATTCTTTCCTCGTTGACTCTGGTCAGGACGGCAGCCCAGATTGGTGCAGACAGAGACGTGCCACCGACACGGCCCCATGAACCTTGAGCGCGGACAACAAAAGAGTCGCCAATGGCAGATACGTCAGGATAGCCACGGCCGCCGATCTTGTAGACACCGTCACCAACAGCCGAGAAGTTGGTACCTGAGTCCGTGTAGCCAGTGAAGTTCAGCGTGACTGAGTCGAAGTAAGTTGCAACTTGGTCTTTCTGGTAATCTGGCGTGTCAAAGTAGTCTGCGCACAATCATGTCAGCATGTTCCACGGAGTCCTTCAAGACAATATGAATAGAAGAGGGGAGAAAATGACGTACTGCTGAATCCACCACCTGAAGGGAACCTGGCGGTTGCGCTCTCGACATACTTCGGCGTTGACGAGTTGCCAGACACCTTGTCCAACTGTGTAGACCCAACTGCTAGGACGTACGGGCAGGTGGCATCACTGGCTGGGTAGAAGACTCTACCTTCAGGCCCAGCACAGCCGTTAGGCCCGCCGTCGCCTTCAAAAGAGCCAACACCATCATCGCCGGAGCTAATCACGACGGTAGTCCCTTGTAGGCCCAACTTCATAATCTCATCGCATTGCCTCTTCGTGTAATAACTCGGGACGTCTGATTCGCCACCGCCGTACGAGATACTGATCACGTTCGTAGGCTCATAGACACCGCATTGAAGCTGGCCCTTGTAGCCACCTGGGTTGGGGTCCGGGTACGCGGGGTCCAGGCATTCGGGAAGCACGCAGTTGCCCGTCTCGCCATAAGCGCTGTAGGTGCAGTAACTTCCATCCAAGGCATCGTAGAAAGTGTTCCAGAAACCTTTCAGAGGTGTGTCTAGAGCAGTCTCGTTGAGTTGATAGAACTCGTCGTCTGTCTGGAAGAGGATGGTCCTCTGGGGCCAGATGAGAGGCTGCGCAGCCTGGAAGTCTAGGTCCGATTCAACACCGGCTGCCTCCAGGGACTTGGCAGCGCCATAAGCACCGTCTATGTTCTTCTCAATGGGATAAGTGCCATTTGGGATCTCCGGGTACAGGGTGGACCAGTAGACATCAAGATCATTCTGAGCGTAGTGGTCACCCAGAGACTCAAAGACGCCGAGCCCATTACCCTCGGCAGCCTTGTCGCCCTTGGGAATACTGTACTGAGTTCTGATGCACTCCTGGGTGACATAAGAGTCACATATGGAACTGTTGAGTGGCGGCAGAGTGGAGGCATCGGAGCCGATGATCTCGACTCCAGTGTTCATGGCCTTTACAGCGCGTTTGCGGAGTTGCTCAGCCTCGGCCCGGCGCTTGAGACGGCGGACGCGTCCTGGATCAGCACGAAGTCGGATACCTGGAGTAATGTCTGGAGAATCGGTCAGCCCTGGAATACTTCCTGGGGGGTTCAGGCTGCTGGTAGCCTCTTACAGTCGATGTGGGTTTGCACATGAGCAGGAATGTGGTACTCCTCAGCAGCGATATTTTCGCTTCCAGTCGAGGTGTGCTCCCAGTAGAAATAATCCGTGAAGAGGAGATCCTCTACTTCCGCGACTGTGGCGTCAAATTGGATCCACTGGGCAGTGTGAGTTATCGGTTCAATGTTTGCTGGGCACGTGAAATAGAGGGGATGGTTGGACGCATCATACCTGCTTGTTGACTGACTGCGAAAGTCGAGTAGCATCGATCCCGCCGGCAGCGAGCCAGTCCCTGACAACCTCGACACTCTCCTTCGGAGGCGCGAAGAAGTCAATGACCTCACGAGCAGACATGCTCTGGCCATAGTAAGGGGACGAGGGGTCTGACCTCTCCATCAGAAGATCGCGGCCCTCCTGCAGCTTATCCTCAAGCTGCCGCAGTCCGATTCTCATTGGCAGTACCGTGGACTTCTTGACCTTCTGCTTCCTCTCCCAGGTCCAGGACCAGTGAGGCATCTGCCTCTCATGACGGACGTGAGTGCTAGGCACGTCCCTCTTGCTGAGGAGTCGTCCGGCATCGAAAGGAGTGGCCAGCGCTGAGTCAATGGCTGCCGCACCAAAAAGGGCGGCAGCGACGAATTCCTTGTACAGCATCGTGGGATGCGTCTACTTGGCTGCTTGGCAAGCTGCACCCGCAACAGATGGCCGACTAGTATGTGACGGATTCACTGGTGGAGATGGGAACGGAGGAGGACGTAGCCAAGAGGGACCAACATCTTCCAAGAGACAGCACCCGCCCCTTGGCAAAGCTTTTATTTATCTACCGTTACAGTTGCCCCTGCGGAATGGGACCCTGTCATGACGGCGAGATAACATCGCGCCATTGACAGGGGGATTCTAGTCCGAACCGACCATGAGGGGACGCAACTCGACCATTCATTCCGACAGGGGCCGTCTTCTCCGAGTGGGGATCGCCTGTGACGTTTATGGAAGCCTGAGAAGAAGATTGAGCCGAGGGTTTAGAGCGGTGGGACAGGACCAGCGGAGCCAAACCCCTGGAGGTAGGAGATAGACGACCCGGCATGGGTACGTCCGTACGGCGCTCAAACTCGCGCAGCAGATCTGCGCTGCGGTGCAAGGTGTCTTGCTTTCGCTTCTTCACCCCCGCGTTTGGGTCAATTCCGCATTGCAGCATTGAGGATCGCATGACTTCGAACAGGCTTCGGAAAGCGGCAAAATTCCTCTCGTGTTCGTGGAGGCAGCGTTGGGCGGTTAAAACCAGAGAAGCTGGGAGCTGCGAGCTTCCGCACTGGGGATAGGGGCAGGAAGCCGCGGCATGCAAGATGCGCGAATCATCTGCACTTGAGGCTGGGGTGCGGGGACCAACAAAGCTTAAAACTTTATTGCGTTCGCAGCCCCGGTCCGCATGAAGAACGAGGGGACGTACTGTGGTAAACCACCCTGGTTCAATTTATTACTTGCACGGACCCGACCATAACGTGGCTCGGCTGATGCTGCCCTGGTCAGAGGCTGGGTTGGAACCTTGGGAGGGGGATGGTGGTCAGAGATGTCTCGACCCCTCGCTCTCACGCTTCACAAGCTCCGATGGGCGAGGGACTCAGGCGAGCTTAGGGAGGGGGTGAGAAACCACAACGGCGTAAGCCACAGGCGGCGCCCGCGTGGGATGCCTAGGGCATCTGACCAGGGTTCGGTCACCCAATTTTGATGTGGCGCCGCCTCGGTTGTTAGCTTGCGGAAATCCAGTCAGTCATGCTCAAAGTTTGGTCTTCCTAATCTAGCCGGTCGCAGCCGGCGAAGCAGTACCAAGGATGACAGGGTATTACGGCTTGGTCATTCCAGAATGTTCCCCGTGTCGAATGCCTGTATAGGGGATAATCTCATATGACAAGCTTTGGTAGAACACTCTGCAGGGATGCCGCCTGTGGCATACTCTAATAGAGCAAGCAGTGTTGTTTGGAATACCTCTTGCAACGTCACGAAAACCTTTTGGGATCCATGCAACTCGTATTTGGTAGCTTGAGATAGTGGCGTTAAAGTCCCATAAAAGGAAGGTGGAAAAAAGGGGGTTAATGGCGTTCCACTATGCGATCACTGGCACAGCCTGGACGTGCTGGACGTAATGGATGATGAAATCATGCGGACTCAGACTCCTGGCCAGATACATGACCTGGCCAAGATAAAGAACGGAGTTGGAGCATGTAGGAAAATCAGTGCACCTCCATTCTAACCATGGTCCAAAACAGCTCCAAGAAATTCAAAAGATTTCGTGTGGTCACATCGATTTCCGACGCGGTCAATGATCTCACAGTCCAATTACATGGCAAAATATATTGAGCATTCACCAAAAGTTCTTCAACAGTTTTCATTCAAAGGGGAAAAAATGACAAAAAAAGGAGTTTAGTTGTTGGGTCTGGCCGGGGATTGAACCCGGCTGGGGAGATGTTAGTTTATTTGTTTTGCACCCTGAACAGGTGGAGATGAACTTACGACCTCGCGCAGTTTAAGCATTAGGGTGAGCCCTAAGCGCGAATCATACCACTAGACCACCAGACCAGGCGATGGAAATCGGGGCTTTTCGGTGCACCTATGGCCGGACAACACATGATCCGCAACACCAGGTCTAGAAACAAATTGCAATTGAGAATCATACTTGAATTTGGTTGGTATATTGAAAAATTCAATATCGTCTCCAGGTCTCAGTCGCGGAAACGGTAAGCCTTTGACCTGTTTTTGATTGCCTGTAGTCTACCATGGCCAATCCAACGTGCAATCACCAGACTCGGGATGTGCATCCCTGTTCGTCCCTTCACCCCGACCGCTCCCTGGATCAGTTCGTACATGATTTTCAACCAATATCATGGGCGTTGGGCAGGCGAAATCTCCAACTCCAATGCTTTTGTGGATCCTGTATCAACTCCCTCATGTTTTTTACAAAGGGCGCCTGTGGCCCCCTCATCTGTTCTCCTCTGTCTAGACACATTCTTGCTGCCTCGACTGCTGCTGCCGAGTTCCCCACGCCGTTCCACTCTACCGAGGCGCGGTAGTATGCCTCGTGCATGCGAGTGTCCAGGCCCTCAAGCTTGTAGAGTTCGAGGAGTTGCTCGGCCTTATCTGTCGAGCCCCTCGATGCTGGAGAGTAATCATCAAGATCACTCCATAGGGCATGTATCTGCCCGACATTTCTATCTGACTGTGCAATCGAGTCTGGATCAGCAGTGCAGTGCTTGCAGGTGCACTCAAATCCCCAATGTGATAGTAATTGGTGCTGCCGCCTGTCGCGGTCTTGGATTGGACTACCCAGTGCTGTCAGCATGTGAATGAGATGCAGAATCGATTGGACGTACTCATAGTACGCGATGCTAAGCTCTTCCCCAACTTTTATATCACGGGCTGCATAGACCTTTTGTGACAACATCGATGCGTCGAAATGGTATCCGCTGTTGGGACGACAATCGTGATTTATTCGTGATACTACAGGTTGGGACGTCAGAACTTGAGAATGCTTAAAAATGTAGAGGACTGCCGAACCTTCAGTGAATGTAGAGTGGAAGTCTTTCCCGTTGTGGAATTTCGTCCTGAAGTTATTTTTGGCGAAGATCTTGTACACTCTCTCCTCATAGGTCGTGGCATCATCATGGGTTGACAGCTGGAGATACTCATGTTGATGGTCATATGGCAAGGACTTGATTGCATGAGCCAGAGCCTGTGTGAGATGTGTTGCGCTCAACTTATTAAATGCTTCACCATCCACCAAAACCGCTGGAGTCCGAGCCATGATGAGCTCTCCCCTCCTGATATCTCGGTTGGCAATCAAGCCAACTCCTTTTCCAAGTATCTGTTTGGCCTCGTAAGGCGGCACAGCGGCAAGGCTCCCACCCCTCGCATCTGGTGGCTGCAAGGTAAGCCAAGATGAGACGTCCTCGAGTATTGCATCCGTGGTGATGAATGCTATACCGAGGCCGCGGTTGAACTTCGGATGACTGAAGGTGCAGAACTGTCCCGGTCCCAAGCCATGGCAGGCATATCCTTTGAGCCAGCCGAGATCCAATGATTTTGATGCCCAGATCGGTCCAGTTGCATCAATGGGGCACACAACATGATCGTGCGGGTCAAAGTATGGGTAAGGTGTGCACAATGGAACGGCATCGGATAAACACAAGCAGCCAATTGCTGACAGCAGCCAGAGTGGTAACGTCGCCTTCTGCCAGCGGATCATGGTTGGCAACGTGACCTGACTGCATCGCATGGTCTTGCTCTTGCTAGATTTGATGAGTAGCTCGGAGGTTTGCAGAGCACGTTGCTGGAATTGAATTCGCGCTCATCAAGCCAAGGAGACCGTGTTTCAGATGATGCAGAGCCTCCTGAGCGCTCCTGAAACCTTTTACCAACTCCTTCCAATTAACTAGACGAGCCGCCATGGGCCGAGCGCCGACCCAAGCGCGTTGAAGCTCCACCTGTTGGTAGTCACAGTGTCTACATAGTTTCGTGGCGACTGACGGTACCGCGTCCGCAACTGGGGATTGGCTTTGTTCACATATTGCGGCCCAGTGCCAATATCAGGACGGGGCATTTATTCCCAATTGCTGACATCAACCGTCGGCTCACAGCACGACTGGAGCTTGGCCATTCTGTTGATCGACGCCACTTCCTCTGGTGATGCAACACACAAATGCAAGCTTCACACACATCATTGGGCGACGCACTAGTGCATCCCCAGCGGTCGATGCGGGGATCTTACAGCAGGCGGTTGTGTGGTTCTTTGACAGCTGCGAGCTCTTTGGTCGAGGACCCCTCGGTCACAAGCCAGATGACGTTCAAATGCTCATCTTGCCTGAACTCAGATTTGGTATGACGACTGAGTAACCTCGACGTTCTCGCCAATGCTCGCACCCTATTGACATTGATATATATTCAGGAGGTGCAGCCACCCAAAGTCCATTGGGCCGGACGCAGAACACATCCAAGACGATTGATCCATCTTGAGCACACTACTATCGCCGTACAAAACAAATCCCATTCTAATAGTAACATAATCACAAGCCAACATGAGCGGAATCACCGACACCGCAGCGACCCAAGCCCACGACATCGTGGAGCAGGCCGAAGCCCAGGAGCAGAAGGTGAGTCGCTGCCCAATGTTTGCGCCACGCGCCGCCTGCATCACACTATTGACAAATCAACACGAAAAGGTGCAGGGCGACAAAGCCATGACTGGCGAGGGTGTGGGCGCCGAGGGTAGCAACACGGCTCCCACCGGTGACCAACATGCAGCGGGCGAGAACAAGTCCAAGCTCGACAAGGTCAAGGAGGCGCTGCACCTGAAGAAGTGATCGCGCCTCAATTTCCTATTTGGGTGTGGGCGCTTGGAGGGACGGCTGGTTAGGGGTGGGTTGTGATCCAAATTGTATCATGCAGGACGGATGTGGGTATCGCAAACTGCAGCAAAAACAACAAAATTGTCTGTGCAGCCACCGCTACCGGAATGCCGGTAATCAGTCATCAGACTGAGTGTCCCAGAAGATGCTACGCTGTGCGCTGGTGCTGCCCGATTCGAGGGGGAAACGTGGCGCCGGCGCATGGAATAAGTAGTCTAAATCCTGTGCGTGCGAGGAACCCCCCCCCCGGGAATTCAGCCCTATCAGTCTTACACGCAGGCAGCCACGGGCTTTTATTCCTCTTCTCGAAATAGGATCCCTCGTGATCAATTGAGGCCATGGCTTCGCCGAAGCTTCCTTCTCTGATGTCAGCTCACGGAGCGCAGTCGACCTCAGGATTCAGCCCTAAAGCCGCCAAGTCAGGCACCCATCCTCCATTCGAGTCACTCGGGCCGTAAGACGACGTAACTCGCGTGTGTCCCGGCCTGTCGAATAGGAGCGGATACCCACCCGCTCAGCCCGTAAGCCGCCCACCCTAGATCCGATACGGTGGGTCGGGACTATCATTGAGACTGCGAGGCACACTCCTGGTTGTCGGGTTAGCCCGATCATTGTTTTTGCGCCCGCTCTAGTAAGCATAGAGAGTGGAGGGGCGGCTGAGAAAGCAGGCCAAAAACGGGAATAGATTTGTTCTTTTGTCGACGCCCTCCCTCTTTTTCGACTTCCTCCCCTCCCATCCAGGTGTCCTCCGCCGCTTTCGTGTTCCACTTTCTTGGCTATTTCGAGATCAAGTCACACGGTCATCGACGTTGATGCCTCGGCAATCGATGTCCCACACCGACACATTTCGGGCTTGCATGGTCCACGGCGCACCCTCCTTCGTATATCACACTGCACATCGAGCCGAATGGGCCGTGGGCGTCTATCGGCTGCATGGAGGCGCACCCAACGTACCATACTTTCTTATCTTCGGCTCGGCGACGGGCAGGCTCATCGCCAATACAACTTAGCCATGTGCCCGGTGGATCCCCCGTGGGGCCGTTTGGGGGCGGCTTGTGCGTATAGATCCTGGGGAGGATCATGGAACCCTGCATTAGGTGGTCCGCTTTCATCACCAACTTGAGCACACCTTGAGAAGTTGGCTGCAAGTGCAGACACAATGGTGCCGGGAGGAGGGCTCCGTGAAGTTATCGGGGGCCGCACGTGGACAACGTTCTCTCATCCGACTCGAGTATCATCTTCGGACCGCGCCCCATCAGGAGGCGGCCGTTCTACCCGGCGGATACCTTGACCTCGCCAGGGGGGGGGGATGACTGGTTCGTGGGGCACTGCTCCTCAGGCACACCACCTTTCGATTTACTGCCTGATTACACAGTCAGGAATGAGGCGATGCCATGAGGAAGCCCGGAAGCGTGACTCCTTTGTGAGGCTCACGTTGGTAACTGGGTGGTGTGGGTATGTCGTCCACCTTGATGGTCACGGCCTCATTCTTTAAATACGGGAGGGTGTTCATGCTCATGCCTAGCTTCGAGTGAAGTCAAATCAAATCCTCCTCAGCACTCTAAATCATATTTGCAGTCTCAATATTGCTGTTTTTTGCCGCGAAGTCAACAAATATTGTTGCTCGAGTGGCAACGTTCAACTCTATCTATATCGTCTTTATCATCTGTGGTACAATGGCGAACCTTCTAGTGCTCACCCGGAAGGTTGAAGGCCTCGGTCTCCAATCAAGGCCTGTCGCCACGGGTGTCATTCTCTTGCTCCTTATTGTTTCATACATATTGATCACAAGATTCATGACATGGCGTCGACTGTCGGCCTTTTCTGGGCCCTTCCTCGCCTCCGTGTCATATCTCCCCATGCTGCGGATCCGTCGCTCTGGGAGATCGCACCTCGAATACTTTGAGCTTTCCAAGCAATACGGCTCCCTGGTCAGGATCGGTCCCAATGACCTCCTCGCATCCAGCCCAGATCATCTTCGCCGGATGTCGGCAGCAAGATCAACCTACCAGCGTAGCAGCTGGTACAAGGCCACCAGACTCGACCCCTACCATGACATGATGGGAAGCGTCATGGACAAGCAAGCTCATATGTCCCTCCGGTCCAAGGTGGCTGCTGGGTATATGGGAAAAGACAACCCTGGTCTCGAGTCGGACATCAACTCTCAGGTTCAATCCT